CCCACTGGCACCAAAGCTGGATCCGCCCTTGATCATAGTGTCATGTTATGACACATTTATTGATGGACACATTAAAAATCTTCGTCTTCACTAAAATCATCCAAACTTAAATGTTTCTCCATAACATCTTCTCCAATTTGTGCGTTTAATTCGTCCATTAACTTTTGGTCGTCCATAACTACGTCGTCGTTACTTTCTCCATTTACTACCGTCGATGTAATTTCTTTTTTACTATCTTCATTAATTACTTCTTTATTTGCATTTCCACTGTTTTCTTTGATATTTTTATCTAGACTTTCATCAGAATCTAATTCCCTTTCGTCGAATTCTATACTCCCTTGACTTAGTGTGTCATTTGTGTCTCCAAGTAAATCGTTTTCTGTAATCAATTCTTCATTTCGTAGGTCTTTTAATTCTTTTTCTTTAATATCTGTTTGTTCTTTATTGAATTTATAATTTTCAGGTTTGTTTATTTCTATCGATTTTTTATTATCTAATAAAATATCCTCTGTTTCATTGGAATTATTATTATTCGAAGTATCTTTATATTTGTCGATATTTTTAATATCTGTTTGTTTTAATTCTGTTTTCTCGATTGATTGATTTTCTATTTGAGTTTTTTCTTCTAATGGATTTGCATTTCGTTTATTATCTTCTAATTCTTTGTTTAAACTGTTAAATAATTCTTTATTAATAATAAAATTTCCAGAATCTACGCTATCTTCTTGAATATCTTTCTGTTCTATTCTTACTTTATCATCTTTGTTACCCTTTACATCTTCACTTAAACCGTTAGTTTCTTTTTTATGTTCGATATTTCTTTCGTCTATATTTTTTTTATTTAATTCTTGTATATTTTCACATTCGTTACTATTGATATCTTCTTTACTAAATCTGCTGTCTTTGTTAATACTATTTACATCTTCATTGAGGCTATCTTCTTTCTGGTTGACGTTTTCTTTTACACTGTCATTTTCATCATTATTACTATTTTCTTGGTTATTTACGGTTTTGTCTGTTTCTTCATTTAAATTGCTATCTTCTTTATCGTTCCCATTTCCTTCTTTCTGTAGACTATTTTCACTGTTAATTACTTCTTTGCTTAGTTTATGTTTTTTAGTATCCTCATTACTAATAATTATTTCTTTATCACTGGTGTCTTCTTTAGTAACTTCTTTGTTAATGTTCTCTTCTTTACTATCGTCTATGTTACTGTCCTTTTCGTTACTAACTTCTGTGTTACTGTTTTCTTCGTTACCAACATCTTTATTACTGTTCTCTTCTTTACTAACGTCTGCATTACTGTTTTCTTTACTAACTTCTTTGTCAATATTCTCTTCTATACCATCGTCTTTGTTAGTATTCTCTTCTTTACTAATTTCTTTGTCATTGTCTTTTTTACTAACGTCAATGTTACTATACTCTTCTTTATTTATGTCTTCTGTATTGTTACCTTCCTCAAGACTTTCATCTTTATTCTTATTTCCGATATCTTTGATATCTTCTGGATTAGGTACTGATATATTCTGATAATCGTTACCGAAGAGTTGATCAAAACTGCTATCGTTTATCCTTTCCAAGTCATGCACATCATCGAAACTGTCAATTACTTCAAAATTATCTTTTTCCGTCAGCTTTTCCATTATCTCCGTTTTAACTTTCCTCTTCCTTCTACGTACTCTACCTAGATATCTAGATGAGAAGATTGTTTTCAAACTGAGTATGGAAAGTGTTGAAATTCTATTTTTTTTCTGTATAGGTTCGTTATTACTGTCAGTGCTTGTGTCTGAATCCCAATGTATGTAATCGGCCTCATCGAATACGTGTTTAATTGGTGATTCTATACGGACCATAGCATCTTTGCCCGTTTTTGGTTCGCTTTTAATATTGAAGTATGGATATGTGCAGTTTTTATCCAGACCGAATACCTGTAAGGAGTTTTTTGGTTTAATATTTGATTTTTTTTTATATAACATAAGATGGCAAACGAACAAGCGGCCACCTGAATCCGCCAAAATTGCGAAGCGACTGCCCATAGACATCCGCAATTGCAGATGCGTTACCCTTATACGACGGAGGAGACGCACATAAAGTGGATATTTCCCTTTCCTATGCAACTATACCGTCAAATCCACTTCACCTTCCCATCCTCTCCTTATAAGAAAAGGGTGGTAAAGAAAAACGGACTAAAATGAGGCCTAAAATTTGATTGTTTTGTTTGTTTGTTATTAGTGTGAAAAATATATTTATAGATATGAGATAATAATCGATCGAGAATTTCGTAGAATGGTATAGGGTGTTATTTTTTTACTGTTTTAACGATATTTTTATTATTTATGATGCATTTTATGAAATTAAAGTTTTCTATGAAAATTACATTCAATCTTACTAATATTATAAATGTGAAAGTTTACATGGATGGATGGATCTGGATGAAATTTGGCATAGGTGTAGAAGATAGTCTGAAGGGACACATAGGCTATTCATTTTTGTATTTGTTTAATTCCACGCTGACGGAGTCGCGGGCGAAAGCTATCTTAATACATTCAACCTTTTTCACAGAATAAAAAGCTTGCAGAAGTGACAAGAACTAACTTTGTTTCAATTTATAAATATTACAACTGCATATTATTTTAAATTTCTAGTAAACTTTCTGACATTAAAAATTACGTTTTTTTTTTCAATATCACTTTAATTTAATCTAATAAATTGTCACAAAATAACTAGATTCAGATATAAATGTCGTCATTTTATTTATTTAATTTTTAGCCTAATACTTAAATCAAACGTCGCTTACAATCTGACAGATGTTAAAATTTCAATGTAATTTGGAGGTGGATTTATTTCATATATTTTACTAATATTATAAAAGCGAATGTTTGGATGTATGTATGGATGTTTACATCCTAAACTGAACGGATCTCGATGATTGTACATGTAGAGGAGAGTCTGAACACAAAGGATACTTTTGTAATGCTACGCGGACAGATTCGCGGGCGAAAACTAGTATATAATTATTTCAGTATTCGTTAGTATTTTAATCGAAATTAGGTATATTAAAGTTTTACTTACATGTGGTATTTCGGATATAGAATACTTCTTGTCCAATATCGGATCACATCTCGATATCCTAATTTGTAAAGGTCGTATTTTAGCCAATAATTTTGGATCTATAATTACATCTGAAAAAAAAACACAATTTAATTTTAAAACACTGTTACTATTTCATAATTTAAAAAAAAATTAAGCTGTGATTTATAATAGCGCCATCTATCGGCCGCGTTTTAAAACTAAGATTTAAATTTTCTTGATTTAAACAAAGTAAACTTTAATGTTATACATAAAATTATTTCACACAAAAAATACACAGAAATACACTATATGCTATTTGTTGGCGCTTGCCACCTTCATATGGATCCCTAATGAGCGACTACGGACATCACTAGCAACAGCGTTACACATCCCTATTGTACATTCACTACCTTGCACTTCGTCTGTCAATCTCGCGCTAATCTATTCATTATTATTGCAACCAAAATGTAATATAATAATTAAACAACCATGAAGCTAAGCACCGGCGTTTTTATAATGTCCATACAATAAGAGGCATAAACACTATTTTTATGTAATAAAGTGTAAACACACTACTTTGTGGCGTAGGATGTCAGAAATCACAACATATTTTTGAATAATATTTTATTTAATAAAAAGCCCTACACTTACGACACGCTATAGGCTATATATTTACACGCTATTACACTTAGGGGGTAACTAAATTAGAAAAACCCTAATGAGGTAAAGGGACATAAACTACAAACTGGCAAGTAATCAAGATAATCTGAGTAATTGTTACCCAATGTCAAAGGCCTTTTGTATTTAAATCTTGACATTTGTATTTGAAAATATCACTAAATGTTAACAATTATACAGTTTTTATAAGCGGATGAAGCCGCACGGGAACAGCTAGTCTATATATATGTCAAAATACAAATTATCGTACCATAGCAATCTTGCTTCTTTGATGTTGGTAGGTTGTATGGTCTCTTTCCACATTAACGTTTTTACCAATTCGTTTACCCCATACGTTTAATAGCTTGAATATATATATCCTAAAGCGTGATGTAAGTGTAGGGCTTTTTATTAAAAAGAGAATTATTCAAAAACATGCTGTGATTGCTGACATGTTAGGCAACAAAGAAGTGTGTGTTTACGCTTTATTATAATAGTATAGATTACAGTGTCTGTTTGTAATATCAAAAGGAAAATTCCAGATTTCGGGAAGAAGTATTTGCGTTACTGATACGGAAATAGCAATTTTATTGACAGCTAGTATATTATTTAGGATATCATCATCAACTTGCCCTTATCCCTTACGGAGGGTCGGCACAGTATGTGCTGCTCTTCTATACATCTCTATCAGCCGTCATATCTGAATCCACTCCTTTCTTACGCATATCCTCTTTCACACAATCCATACTTTCTTCGGTCTTCCTCTTCCTTTGTATCCATCCACATTCAATCTCAACACTTTCTGGTTTATGTCCCCATCATTTCGTCGCATATTATTTAGGATATAAATAATATTATTTACCTTTCTTATATTTGCAGTTTATCCGATGCCGGTGTAGATTCCTCGGAGTGGAATATTCTTTGCCGCAGTCGCACATATTCCTGTCTTTTTGTTTGCTATCGTTTTTACCTGTAAATATAGGTACAAAAAGTTAGACAGATGGCGCTGTACAATCACATTTGAATTTTGCTTAAAATAGATGGCGCTGTACAAGGTTTTACTTTTTTTTTTCATTAATAACAGATGGCGCTGTTATCAATTGTAATATTTATTTGTCCTATTGTTTGCAGATTAAATTCTTATAAGAAATTGCAAATAAAATAAACAAATATATGACTTGACAAATTACAAAAAAAAAATAATTTGAAATACACTCTTTTAATTGCTTAATTTCAGTTCCCTTTCCCTTCTCACTCTTTATATACGGATTTAACTGAGATGGGGACGAAAAGATGAGAAATGTCCCTTCTCTGTGAAAAATTTGGCATTTTTGTATGCAATAACTGAAAAATGCAAGGCCGATTTAAAAAATTCTTTAACCTTCAAAAAGCTATGTTATCGGCGAGTTTTTTTTTCTATTATTAATTTTTTTGTAGTCGAAGTCATGAGCAATAACTAGTATGTAATTATATTTACCTCTAACTTGTATTTTCTCCGTCCTATCTTTATAATTAGTTTCCGCAACTGGCGGTGACTTTTTAGTTTTTGAATTCCTGTAAAATTGAATAAAAATATAACATAAATACCCACAATATCTCTCAAAACCCATACTAAATATCATATAATTTTACAAGAGATTTCTTTATTTATGTATGTATTTAACTAACATTATAAATGCGAAAGTTTAGATGGATGGATGTTTGTTAGAGTTTGTAGCCTAAACTGCTGAACGGATTTCCATGAAATTTAGCATAGACATAGAAAATAGTCTGGAAGAACACATGGACTTCTTAGTTTTTTAATTCACGGACGTAGTCGAAAACGAAAGCTAGTTTAGAATAAAATCAACAGAAGAATATGCAACTGAAAGTGTAACACCGCGAATTTCCTCGACTGTACATAGAGAAATTATCACATAATAGTTTTCGCTCGCGACTTCGTTCGCGTGGTATAAATAACACAAAAGTATGTAGTCTGTGTGTTCTTCCAGACTATCCTCTATACCTATACCAAATTTCATCGAGATCCGTTCAGCAGTTTAGGTTACAAACTCTAACAAACATCTATCTAAACTTTCGTATTTATAATATTAGTATGGTAGAATTTAAAATATGGGGGATGAGGGTTTGTTACTTACTTGATTTCATTCTGATGTGTTTTGACGTGATTTTCAAGTCGACCTTTATTTGGAAAGGATCGTTTGCACACTTTGCATACATTTGTCTCCGGAGATCTGGTCCTAGATTTTGGTGGTGACCTGGTTCTATATCTGGGGGGAGATCTAGACTTTCTCTTTGACTTAGATGAAGTTGCTGTATCTTCTATCCTGTGAATACAAGAAAAAATTCCATATATTACAACAATAGTGTCGCTGCTATTTTTTTTTTTTCAATAAAATAAAAAAATGGCGGCCATGTTGGATTTTTTCAGTTATTTTATTTGAAAAATATTTAAGTGAATTATCAAACAGACACAAATGATTTTTTATTGTTTTTTACATATTAGCTTTCGCACGCGACTCCGTCCGCATGGAAATACAACTAAGTAGCCTTCGCATTTATAATATTAGTAAGATAGTCAGATAGTTAAATTAATATTAATAAAAACTCACTTGACTCTTTTAACTGGTAAATCACTTATTGAATCTCTCTCTCTTCCTCTTTTAGATTTTGGTGTTACCAAAATGTCTTCCTCCTGCAAAAAAATCACTGCATACTAAAATGTAACAATAAACTGGTCAATATCCCTAAGTATATAAAAAAATCGAACGTTGTCTCAGTGGTTTAGGCACTTGACTTGTAATCTACAGGTCTTGGGTTCGAATCCCGCTGTACCAATGTGATGTTTTTTTTTATTTTTAAGGATTTTTTTTTACGCTTGATTTTAAACATTTTTCAAACTCTGCAAACTGTGCATATTTTCGTAAAAACATTGCTATATATTAAATTCTTTAAGATGTCTCATAAATGGTAAATAATGTGATTTCTAACAAAAAAAAGAAAAATAATAACAAAAAAAAAACTACTCGCAAAATCCAATAAGCAATATACTAGTATTTACTTACTACTTTAATAATTTTATTAAAAAATGATTTTTTTTTAGTTTAGTACAAACAAACTTCACTAAAATGGACAAAAATACTATAAAAGTAATATTACTATTGATTACTTACATTATTTTTTTCCTTCTTTAAAATAGATTTCAAAGGTTCTGATGATTTTTTCTTGGGCTGTGGAAATAAGATTAAAAAAATCTTTGTTTACTTTATTTGTCCATACTAATATTACAAAAAGGACTTTTTTTTCTATAATATAATGTGGCAAACTCGCAAGCGGCCTGAATCCACTGAAATGGAAAGCAACCGCTGCCCATAGACATCCGCAATTGCAGCGCTGCCTACCCTTTATTGATAGAGGAGACACAGATAAAGAGGACATTTCCCCTTCCTATACGTCTCTTCCACCGTCAAATCCACTTTTCCTTCCCATCCTTTCCTCTTAAGAAAAGGGTGGAAAGGGAGAGGGACTAAAATTAGGCTGTGATTGTATTTTTGTATGTATTGTAATAACTTAAAATCTACATAGGCTATCTTTTTGTCTAATTTTTAATTGAGTAGTTTTTGAGTTATTTTAATAAATACAAAAACATTAATCATTCCCTTTTATGGTAATACTAGCTGTTGCTCGCGACTTCACCCGCGTGAAATTAAAAAATAAATCGTCCGTTACAGATAAATTACATTTGTAATGGTGAAAGTCTTTTTATAATCATCCCTGTAGTTTTTGAGTTATTTCAATACATACAAAAATAAAAACCTCTCCTCTTTATAATCTATACTATACTATTATAATAAAGCGTAAACCCACACTTCTTTGTGGCCTAAGATGTCAGCAATCACAGCATATTCTTGAATAATTATTTTTTTTTAAAAAAAGCCCTACACTTACGTCACGCTTTAGGCTATATACTTTCACGCCATTAAACTTAGGGCGTAAACATTCGGTTAAAAACCCTAATGTGGGAAAGAGACCATAAGTTGCTGCCAACATCAAGAAAGAAAGATTGCTAGGGTTTGTCATGTCATGTCATTTTGACATTTGATATTGATAATTTGACAAATGTAAACAATATAATAAAGTTTTATAATTTCACGCGGATGAAGCCGCACGAGAACAGCTAGTATTAGTATAGATAACAGCAGGGGTACTAAAACAATTAAAAAGGGGGTATACAAATCTCATAACTGACCTGGACATTCTTCTGATCCTTGGAGTTCCTGTTCCTCGATGTGAGGATATTTGTAGGGCTGGAGATAGACCTTCTGGTGGCACGTCTATTGGTATCTGGACTCAATCTAGATTTACTATTTCGACTGTTCTCTGATGATTTCATCTGTCAACAAACAGGTAAATAAGAAATCTTAACTTTTTTTTATAATATAAAGTGGCAAACGAGCAAGCGGCCACTTGAATCCACCGAAATGGTAAGTGACCAATGCCTTAAACATTCGCAATTGTAGATGCGTTGCCTAGCCTTAATGGACGGAGGAGACGCACATAAAAGGACGTTTCCCCTTCCAATGCGCCCCCTCCACGGTAAAACCCACTTTTACTTCACATACTTTCCACTTAAGAAAAGTGTGGAAAGGGAAAGGTACTAAAATGAGGCCTCCGGTACCACACTCATCAGACTGTATGCGGAATTGCTTCCACTTCACGCCTGTTTTCTGTGTGGTCGTGGTATTTCGCGGGCGAGCCCTACAGTGCGATGTTAAAGCGGGCTCTACCACTATCACTGTGTACTACTTCTTTAATTAAAGTAAAAATATGTTGAGCCGTTGCAGAATTATTGAGTAAACATTAAAAAAAACTAAATTAATATATCCCACGGGAACCGTAACTATTCCCGGGATAATAAGTAGCCTGTGTTCTTCCAGACTATGCTCTAAACCTGTGCCAAATTTCATAGAGATCCGTTCAGCCTTTTCGGCTACAAACGCTAACAAACATACATCCATCGTAACATTCGCATTTATATTTACTAGCTTTCGACCGCAAATCCGTCCGCGTGGAATTGAAAAAAAAAACAAAAAGGAGTAACCTATGTGTTCTTCCAGACTTCCACTTCAGCCAGTTCAGTTTGGGCTACAAACTCTAACATACATCCATCCATCCATCTAAACTTTCATATTTATAATATTATTATAAGTATATGATATAAGCTGTCACTTCAATGTATTTTACCGTACATTAGCACAGTTGTTCGTAAGTTTCGCCGGAGGTCGCTTAGCGGGGTCAAAGTATTGATTTATTGCACGTTTTTGAGAGTCTGCGTACTAAAGGTCTGTCTGAACTTTTCAGATATTTGTCAACAAATGTCGTTGTTGCATTTACTTTCATGATATCGTTTGTCTACTTCAGTTTTACGAGGTCGGCAAGTATTACTATTACTATTACTACAACTAGTAGTGAATAAAAATACCCAATTTTTAGGACTGTTCCGCTGTTTTGGGCGGGACCAAAAATAAAAAGTAATAGGCCGCCACAATCACAAGTGGTATTGACAAGTTATGCGACGAGACGATGGGGACATAAACCAGAAAGTGTTAAGATTGAATGTGGATGGCTACAAAGGTAGAAGACTGAAAAATGACTTGTGTGAAAGAGGATATGCTTAAGAAAGGAGCGGATTCAGAAAGGCACTCATTCAAACATTTACTGCCCAACAGAGTAGTCATGGCATGGAACAGGCTTCCAGATAGTGTAGTGGTGGTTCCAATAGTCAACACTTTTAAAAATAGACTAAATACACTTAAAATCTCCGAGCTATACAACATAAACGCATCAGCTAACTATCTGCTAGTATGTCACCGAAAATAATAATAATAAAACAATAAGAGTATCCTATGTGTTCCAGACTATCCCCTATATGTATGACAATCATCAAGATGCCAGCAGTGTAGGATACAAACAAACATACATATAAACTTTCACATTTATAATAAAGTAGAACCTCGATAACATAAAAACCTCTATAACTTCAAAATAATATGTTCCCTGTCCATCAGAGCCCAAAAACATTTACAACATAGACCCTTGATAACTTAAAACCTCTATAACTTAAAATATTTTGTGTTTCCCTTGGACTTTAACTTAACAAGCTTCTGCTGTATTTATTGCAGTGGTAGTGCCCTCTTTAACATCTTAGCACTGCAGGCTGGCACTCCCCCAATACCACAACCACTCACAAGACAGGCGTCTAATGGAAGCAATTCCGTGTTTCGTCTGATGAGTGTGGTGCTGGAGACCTACTTTAAGTCCTTTTCTCTTTACCACCCTTTTCTTATAAGGAGAGGATGGGAAGGGAAAATGAATGTGATGGTGGAGACGCATAGGAAGGGGAAATATCCTCTTTATGTGTTTCCTCCTCTGTCGGATATGGGTAGGCAACGCATCTGCATTGCGCATGTCTATGGGCAGCGGTCGCTTCGCCATTTTGGCGGATACAGGTGGCGGCTTGCTTGTTTGCCACCTTGTTTTAAAAAAAAATATTAACTTTTTAGTGATTTATATCTTCTTACCTTAACTTTGTCAGATGTCTCTTTCTTTGATTTACTCTGCTTTCCCACATGTTTAATTATTGGTTCATTTGAGTCGTCATTAGCAAATATTGTTTCCGTCACACCTAAGATGCAATCACCTGCATTCGGCTGAAATAACATATATACTATTAAAATGTTTATAAATACAGTAGTACCTTGATAACTTAAAGTCCAAAGGAAACAAAATATTCACAGTTATAGAGAGCACTGAGGAGCAACACGACTGCAATACAACATCATTAACCCTCGCCTTGAAGAAGGACCCCCGCTGGGTCTTCTTAGTGAGCAACATAGGCTACGTTTTTAATATTTTTATAGTTTCACGCGAGCGAAGTCGCGAGCAACAGCTAGTACTATTATAAAGAATAAATTGTATTTTTGTATGTGTTGAAATAACTCGAAAATTCTTTCACCAATAACAAGCTACATTATTAGTGAGCAAGCACGGGTATATTTTTTTAAATTCATGCGGACGAAGTCGTGAGCAATCTTACTGATCTTACTAATATTGTAAATGCGAAAGTATAGATGGATGGATAGATAGATGGATGGATGTTTGTTAGTGTTTGTAGCCTAAACGGCCAAACGGATCTCCATGAAATTTGGCACAGGTTTAGAGCATAGTCAGGGAGAACACATAGGATACTTTTTATCCCGGGAATAGTTACGGTTCCCATGGAATTCATTAATTTAGTTTTTTAATGTTTACTCGATCATTCTGCAACGGTTCATATCTTATTGAAATTTGGCACAGATATAAAACAAAGTGTGGATTACACATGGTATAAGCTTCATCCCCGAGAAATGTCCGGTTCCCGAGGGATACGTAGCTTTTTGTAATTTACATAGTTTGTATGTTTTCTAATACCACGCGGACGAAGTCGCGGGCAACAGCTCGTAACTTTATATATGCTAACTTACCGCTCCTCTAGGCATTGTCTGTGGAGGTAAACCAAGACGTAGTCTTGTCTTCATGTTCGTCTGCTTACACATCTCTGAGAATTCGTAGAAATCATTAACTTTGTCGACGCACAGCTCACAAATTAATGGAGGCATTTTATCTTCTTGGTGGACCTGCAAATATTTATTCTTGTTTACGACGAACGGAGGGAGTATAAACATATATAATTACATCAATAACAGTATAATTGTATATTAATATAATTTAGTATTTTATTCTATATTTAGCTTCGAATTGTTTTGAATTTGAAATGTAACAAATCATAAAGGATTTCTAAAACAATATGAAAAAGTCACATTTAGTCACACATAGTGTGGAAATTAATAGGCTTTTAGGGTAGTTTAAAAAAAAGATTCCAATAATTCACCTCTATTTGTACACATTCCCTTATTTTCTGGGTGAGTGGAACATCTCCATCCCATTCGACATTTTGTACTATAGGCATTTTGTAGCCAGCACCGGCCCCACAGAGACGACATGATCTAAAAATCTCATAAGCTATCTTCTCCTCAATTTTAGAAGTCCTAAAACGACTCATTTTTTTCAATAATGGTAAGGTTAATCACACTTTAACAATGAACTACGATGCCGCTTTTCCGCCATTATCAAAAGCAAAAAGCGTTTTGTTTAGTGTTGTCACTTGTCAAACCACAGTATATAACAATCTTAACAGATTGTAGTCAATGATTCAAGTTTTTTTAATTGGTAGTTTTCGGTAAGTTCAAAATTAAAGAAAAATAGAGAGAAACACAAAAGCTAGAAAACAACTGTGCCCACACCTGAAACTAAACTATCGCACAACTGTTGTGTAATGTAGATTGTTTCGCAGCCAATTCAACTGTTTAGTTGCGCTACTAAAACGAGTAGTGTGCGGATCTTCATTTAAGCTCATAGGAATCTAAGCGAAACTAAACAATTGTGCGATAGTTTATTTTCAGGTGTGCGCACGCTCGTACAATATCAAAACTGTGTTTTAAACTATGCCAGTTTTTATATCTATATCGACAGAAAACTCGATCTTCAACAACGGTATAAGTATAAAAAAACATTGATATAGTGCGGGGAAGGTGTAAACTTATATTTTTATGTTTAAGGAATTTAATGAATATTGTTTCAGAAATATTTTATTTGTTTTCAAATCCATCTAAAACAAAACGTATATTTTCTCTTACTGTCTTTACCACCTCCTCTGTCATTTTTTCTGCTCCAACTTCCATTATCTTTATCAATTCAGACCAAATTTTTGATATGATATTTCGGTATTCACTTGCTTTTGTCCATTCTTCCAACTTTTGTAACAAATCATTCCACTGTTTTGTATTATTTTGGTCACCAAGAATTACTTTATCAAACTCGTTTAAAATAGCTTGCAGCACAACAGTTTTATTGACTAGTTTCATATTCTCAGCACCATAGATTTTTATCGGTTTATTTCTATTTGCTATTACATTTCTTAGGATTAAAAAAACAATCCTTGTCTCCTCCTCGTTTTTGTATTCCAAATTGCGTATTAGAACTTTGAATTGTTTGTGTGATTGCCAATCCATTATTCTTAAAAAAACTGCATCTTTTAATACTTCAGTTAATGCATCGGAAGCCTGTTTTACTTTCCGATTATCCGTTTTTAAGATCATCGTCAACATGTCTGTTAATAAATCGCTAAAAGTTCTGCTAGTTCTACATATTTCATATTGCTTACAAAGATGAACGAATTCTGAATTAAGTTCTTTTTCCAACTCTTTTTGCATTGAAACGATCGTTGAGTTTGAATTTCGTAAGGAGCCTTTAATAAACATGTTCATGTGGTCAAATATTTTCGTAATAATTCTATTTGATACGCTTAACGTATTCAAAATAGCTTTTTGAGTACCCAATTTAGTTCTAAGTGTTTGATTGCCTAATTTAGTGACATGCTCTTCAAGTTTTTCTTTGTAAAGTTGCTTGATTCTATGAAACTTGTGTTTATCTATTTTGTTCTCAAATCTTACCTGAATATTTTCCAGAACGATAAGAGCTTGGTTATACAAATGTAGGATGTATCGTTGAATTGATTCATCGTCTTTAATTTTTCGCGGAGTTAGAATTTCTGCTCGTTGTCTTAAATGGGATTTGTTATTTTTTTTCTTCTTTACTGGACCAATTTCGTCATTTTCGAACTGAAGAGATATGTTTATTTTCATTGCTTCTTCTTTATTTGGAATGAATGCGTTTGTCTTAACACCCTTTCCAACATTACCAATTCTAATCATGTTAGGTAAGATATATTCTATTTCACTTTTCGTAGTTAAAGGTGGAGGGGATAATTTGCTTTCTAACGCGAACTTTATTTTTCCTTCAGTTACTTGAGTAAGTTGTAATTCATAGTTCCATTTCTTGCCTATATCAAGCAAACCGTCTAAATGGATCATGGCAGCATGGCTGTTTGTAAGGCTACCTAAAAATAGGATTATTTAGCATTCATTTCAAAATATGGGTTAAAGTATGCAACTTTTAGATAACATTAAACTCTAAGCTTATAAAAACGGGCACCATTCTTTTTATTCCATTGTACTATACAAAGTCAAAACTATTTATGGGATTTGCTATAATGGATTGGGAGGATGTTTAAGAATTTTTTTTAGCATAATATCAAATTCATAGATATTTGTATTAAATTTGCTTATTTTAAAACTATGCGATACTTACAAAATATCAGCATCAAGTGAATGAGCAACATTGTTATATGGCTCATAAAATATTTATTATGACATAAAAAGTTCTATTATTCATAACAACTTAACATTGGACGTGAAATCACAATGTTACCGATTTAGTGTTTCAAGTTTAAATCATTCTACTTCGATTGATTGATAGTGGTTTGAATGACAAAAAAAAAACAAATTGAACAAGTTACAACAAACTCATCTTCAACCATATTACTCTGTTTCCTTGTAGTAATTTCTCTTACGAAAACTTTTCTACTTATATACCTTACCAAATCAACTCTCAAGCAATTTTAGCACATAAGTTATTGAGATGCAGGTAGTAATTGAATACCATAATGTTTTAACTACATGTATCATTGTTATCAATGACGAAATGGCATTTTTTGTCTAACTAATCATTGGGAGACATTAAAGAGGGCAGTTGTGATTGGTTAAAAAGGCCGTTAGCTGTGTTTTTCTCGTCGGCGCGCCGCACCGTTAGTTTGTGGGTTGCTTAGTGAGTAATATTTAAAACTGATTAAATTGAGCATGCAAAATTTTCATAAGATACTATTGAGATCATTTCCAAATACTAAAGTGCTTTATCTTACGTTTCAAAATTGCATAATATATTTCAATTCCAGATAATGCAGTTATTTTCTTTTATTCTTCGTCTTATGGACAGCAGTTCATCAGTTTTATGGTTAATTTTTTTTTTTATAACAAAACCAGACATCATCGATAAAACCCTAATCAATCCTTACTGTTATTTAAATAGTTATTATCCCAAATTGCATAATCTTATCAAGTAGTGACGCAACCGTTGCTTATAATACAAGTTACGTTACAGGAAAACAACTCTGAAAAAACAGGAGAACTCAGTTTTAAACTTAACAACGATCGCAAAGGTCTAAATATTTTACTTTGCATATAAATAAATAACATGCATATGATGCATATGTCAAAATAAGTGTATAAGGTCCACAGAGTACTTTGTAACATACTGAAATAGAGACCAATCTTCGGCCTAAAATTGGGTAACACGAAGAAAAGCGCCATCTGTATTTCATAGTTTACAACTTTCTTTCTTTCTTGTTTTGTTTTTATTTTATTTTTTAATGAAATGGGGCAAACGAGCGTTATTTAAAATAATAATATAGGTTATATAAATATCTAAATAACTATATTTCATAACATAGATATTTAGATATTTATACACCTATATTATATCTGTTATAAATGAAAAGATTTATATATCCACCCAAATAGTGCATTATACCAATTAGGAAGTAAAAACAAAGGATACTGTTGGACGGTTACTTTCTGCGGTCCCGAGCTCTGGAGGTGTAGGGCTATTGAAACAATGGCTTCACATAGTTAACAAGTATATTATAAGTATCAACAATCACATTTTATACAATCCCATATTTCATATATCCTACGGTGTTACGCGGTACGTATTAAGATGAGAAATCATACATAAACATCAGTGACATCAGTTGTACAAGTTGTAGTACTTGATGCATACCTTAAAATAATAATCTGTTATTTTAACAAAAAATAATAAGGCTAGTGACTAAAACCGTAATACCATATGGCAATAACAATTAAAATCTGAGACTAATGGCCCAAATAAAATTTTCCCACCTTCTTACTGGTTACATCTTATTTGATATTATTGCACTCATTAAAAGCATACTTTCATGTACAAAAAAAGTCTAAGAGAGATTAGTGTAACAATTTACTACTTTTGCTTTACTGCTATAAATATGGTTGTGAAAGAACCAAATACATGTTAAAGACAAAACACTACAAACAAATACTTAAGTAGTCCGGCAATGTACAGAGGCACTAGGCCATAGATGTGGACTATAGCTATAAATTCTCATTATACGAGAGGAGACATCTTACTGCTGGATAGAGACAGTGTTATATAAAAGTCTGTAATGTTCTGAAGTAAGTAGACATAGAAACAGACATACCTCCTCTTTCTTTACAACCAGGACTGCACTTACCTAAATACTGTTGAGTATTTTCAATTAAACGATAATACAGAGTACTTTAAGGATAAATAAATGTAATAGACATTTTACTTATTGAACTGACATCGAATTACAAGTGACAATTAAAAAGAAGTAAATCAGAGTTGAAAAAAGGTTTCATTCAACAAATACACTAAAAAAAACACTACAAGAAGAGCTACTAAATAGCGGCATCTATCGTATATTAATTGAACTAGTAATTTTTTATTGGTAAAACAGCCATCTATTACTGCGCGTTGGCATATATAACAATTATAATACTACTAAAAACAAAATTAGTCTGTTTCTTATTATCAAAATAGATTTAAGGTGCTCCGTTATATTGCAGTATTTTATCTTCGGATTTCCAAGTTAAATGTACTGAGATTGTGCACCCTGATAAGGTCCGAACAGACCACTCGATTTAATATTAGTAGTTTTTTAATTGCAAGTACGGCAACAATAAGCAACTTATCCTTTCAACATGTTTTAATAAATTGTGTATGGCAAATCGATTATAAAAACTGCTGTTTATAATCTGTTTCCAATGTTTCAATGAGAAGCCGATTTCGATGCACTGTAAAATTGAAACCGTTTTGCTTCTATCGAAGTGTACAGTGAAGTAATTAAATAACCCCTTTTAAGTGTAAATTTAAAAGTGTTCTTTCAATCTCTAAAAGTTTGGTGTAATTTGTTGTGCATAAAAGTGGTAAGTATTTAAAATAACACGGTTATTTACATACGGCTTAACTTTTCGTTACAATGATTCCGTTTTTGATTCAATTTCAGTTTTTGTTTTTGATTTGAACAGTTAATAAAATAGTTTACTTTGTTTTCATTATTTAAATAATGCTTTTTTCGCTTTTATTAAGACGGCAATAACGTGTTAGATGAATTCTTTGCATACCTCGTGAGTTTGGTAGTAAATGTCAAAACTGGTGTTATAATTTGTTGCAATGAAATCAACGTGTATTTATTTTTAATTTTTTATTGTATGCCAAAGATTGTCTCTATTTTTACATAAGCTATGTAGTAAGATAACCGTTTTGTGTTATGATTTGCTTATTTCGATTAATTTTGTAGGTATACCAAAATTTCGTATTACCAGCCATTTTTTCGTGACATAGCTTGTGTGAAATTTATATAAAAATGATCTAACGTTTATCCAGATACTATCTGTAATTATTTAAAGCAGATTTATTGCATACTTGCTTCTTTGTTTGATCTTACATCTTATTTTAAATTCTAACTGTTGCCCGCGACTTCGTCCACGTAATATTAATGTAAAAAAGAAACTCCAATTGTATTATATGTATAGATGGTTATTAGTTTGAAGGTATCTTTAAATATGCTATATTTGACACAGATGTAGAACATGTAGCTTATGTACTTTGTTTTTTATTTAATACTGAATGGGTGGAGTTTTGCCAAAAGCTAGTAAATGAATTACTAACAACTTGCTTTTCCCCAACAGTGTGTTCACAGTATGTACTTTTGTATGCATCTCTATCAGCTGAATATCTATCTAATTCACTGCCTTCTCCACAATACATACTATCTTTTAAATTATCTACATTTCTAAGCAATCACTCTAAATATTAAATTAAAACAATGAATTCAGCACATTTTTAAACTTTATTAATAAAAATAAATCTTACTAATATTATAAATGCAAAAGTTTATTATTATTAAGATGGATGTTTGTAGCCTAAACTGCTGAACATAACTCAATGTAATTTTGCAAAGATATAGAGGATAGTCTGAAAGAATGGGCTACTTCGTTTTAATTGCACACAGACAGAGTTGTGCGCAAAGCTAGTTTAGTAATTAATCTTGTACCAAATAAGCTATACTGGGTTTAACAGAATGGTTAACAATAATTTGGAAGTCTAATTATCAAATTTGTTTTTTATTTTCGATAAAGTAATGAGCAAAAGGTAATTTAGAAAATTTATAAATTAATATACTGTACTTTATTTGTATAATATGTCTCAATTTTCCAATATTTCTGTCCTAATATTGTAAATCTAAATATACAGATGGATGGATTTTTACTCCATATCTCCTAAACTGTCTTAACAGATCTCGTAATTTGTCATAGATTGAAAAATGTAGAACATAGTCTGAAAGAATACAGACTACATAATCATACTTCATAGTAATATTATAAATGTGAAAGTTTAGATGGACGGATGGATGGGTAAATTTTTGTGAGAGTTTGTAGCCTAAACGGCTGAACAAATCTGGATGAAATTTGAAATAGATGTAGAGGATAGTCTGGAAGAACACATAGGCTACTTACTCACTTTAAATTTTGTTAATTTCACGCGGATGTAGTCGCGGGCGAAAACTAGTTGTTTATAAACAAAAGATAGTAAACATGTTAGTAAATATTGTGCAATATCTAGAAAGTTGGTATTGATGATGTCATATTTTGACCTTGATTTATATGACAACACTAATAATATAAGAAAGTTTTGCAAATGTTTGAGGAAAATATTAATAAAACACAATTTTGATCTGTGATCTACTAATGTTTGAATATTGAATCAAATCATACTTCATACTTATATACTAACGAGTTGTCGCCTGCGACTTCGTGGTCCGCGTGGTATTAGAAAACACACGAACTATTTAAATAACAAAAAGCTACGTATCCCTCCGAAACCGGAAACCTCGGGGATGAAGCTTATCCCATGTATACTCCAGACTTTGTTTTACATCTGTGCCAAATTTCAATAAGATATGTTGAACCATCGCAGAATAATCGAGTAAACATTAAAAAACTAAATTAACGAATCCCACGGGAACTGTAACTTATCCCGGGATAAAAAGTAGCCTATGTGTTCTTCCAGACTATGCTCTAAACCTGTGCCAAATTTCATGGAGATCCGTTCAGCTGTTTAGGCTCCAAACGCTAACAAACATCCATCCATCCATCCATCTAAACTTTCACTTTATAATATTAGTAAGATATTATAAACGTGAATGTTTAGATGGATGGATGTTTGTTAGAGTTTGTAGCCTTAACGGCTGAACATATTTCAATTAAATTTGGCTAGATTTTGAGGGTAGTTTGGAAGGGTGCACGGGCTACTCACTTTGGTTTTTTAAGTCCACGCGGACGGGGTCGTGGGCGCAAACTATCTTAAACCTTGGCTAAACTATCACATAACAGTTTAGTCACGCTTTGATTCCTATGACCTTATATGGAGGTGCTCAAACTCGACCTTTAGTTGTGCAACTAAACAGTTGTATTAGCTGTGATACAATCGACAATCGTGCAACAGTTGTGCGACAGTTTAGTCAAAGGTGGGCACACACTAAGCGATATAACCATCAACAAATCCACAAAACTAGAGAAATTGATATGTTTATAGTCTTTTTTTTTATAATAAAAATAAAAACGTTCAAGCGGTCACCTGAATCCACCGAAATGGAAAGCGACCGCTGCCCATAGTCATCCGCAATTGCAGATGCATTGCCTACTCTTAATTGACGGATGATGAGACGCACATAAAAAGAACATTTGCCCTTCCTATGCATCTCCTCTATCATCAAATCCACTTTTACTTTTCCTCTCAAGAAAAGGGTGGAAAAGAAAAGGGACTATAATTAGGACTCCAGCACCACACTCATCAGACGAAACGCGCAATTGCATCCACTTCACGCCTGTTTTCTGTGTGGTTGTGGTATTCCACCAGGCAAGCTGGCCCATTCTTGCGAAGATGTTAAAGCGGGCTCTACCACTGTCAAAACTGTCTTTAACATAGTCTTATCTTTCCAGGTGTAAGATGCTGGCCTGACAGGATCTGAACTTCTAGAAGACCAGTGATCAATTCTGATAACACAAAAGATATCAGGATGTTTCAGAAACAGACATTCGGTGCAAGCACTTCTGCTTTTGGTAATAAATTAATTTTATAGCTTGTTACTGAAATAAATAAAAAAAAAAACTTGGGTTTATTAACAACTTACAATCTGACACATCAACATATTATTCAAACTTGTTTAAGTGTAGCCTTTTCTATACTAATATTATAAAGAGGAAAGATTTGTATTTTTGTATGTATTCAATTCAGACAAAAAGTACTGGCCAATTACAAATAATCTTGCACCATTAATATAGCTTATATTATCACTGAGTGACAGCTTTTTTTTAATTTGACGCAGAAGAAGTCGCTAGCAACAGCTAGTCATTTATAATTGTATAAGATTTTTTGAAATTGACCCAGTAGTTTTTGAGTTATTTCAATACATACAAAAATATGATATAAATTTTTCTCTTTATTATATTAGTATAGATATGTGTCTGATTTTTTTTTTAATATATGAAGGGATGTTCGCTTCCCCCTAAAAACTATCTTAATAAGCGTATTTTTACAGGTACATCAACAACGCCATCTTTCGGTAGTTTCAAGCCAACAACTGGTACTAATGCTTTCGGCGCTCCTCCTGCCTTTGGGGCTACGGCTGCCCCACAACCTGCTGCCGGCGGAGGTAAGATTACGCATACATAATAATGTTGTGCACGACTTTGTCTGCGTGGATTAAAAAAATATAGCCTATGTATGGTAATGTAGCTTTTTAATGGTGAAAGAATTTTTGAAATCAGCTCAGTAGTTTTTGAGTTATTTCAATATATACAAAAATCTAAATCTTTCCTCTTTATAATACTAATATAGGACACATCCTCTCCTTAAGACAAAATATCTGTTTTCGTAGATATCTATGGGTAGGTGACGATTCGCTATTCTGGCGAATTCAGGTGTCTTGTTATGCTACAAAATAATGTACATTTAAAAGTGCAACAGTTTATACTTGTCTATACTAATATTATAAAGAGAAAAAATTTGTATTTTTAGATTTTTGTATGTAACGAAATAACTCAAAAACTACTGGGCCAATTTCAAAAGATTTTCACTATTAAAAAGCTAGTTATCTGTGAGTAACATAGGCAATGTATTTTTAAAACTACATTTAATTTTAAAAATAATAGAAACTAGCAGTTCCCATGTGGTTTCATCCGCATGAAATTATGAAAATTTTATTTTATTGTTTTCATTTGTCAAATTATTAATTGCAAATGTCAAAATGACATGACAGGTCAAACCTTAGCATTCTTGCTTTCTTGATGTTGGCAGCAACTTATGGTCTCTTTCCCACATTGGGGTTTTTATACAAAATATTTATACCCTAAGTTTAATGGCATGAAAATATATAGGCTGAAGTGTGACGTAAGTATAGGGCTTTTTATTAAAAAAATAATTATTCAAAAATATGGTGTAATTGCTGACATCTTAGGCAACAAATAAGTGTGTCTTGACGCTTTATTATAATAGTATAGATAGAACATATTAACACACTTTTCAGGTCTATTTGGCTCTACCAATACTACGGGGGGTCTATTCGGCAGTTCTCCAGCAGCCACTTCCACCCCGGCCTTTGGTGCAACAACAGGAGCCTTCGGGTTTGGAGCCAGTACATCTACTGGAGGCTTATTCAGTAACAACCAGTCCACCGGCTTATTCGGAAATACACAGAATACGTCTGCCTTTGGAGCTAAGCCTGCAGGTAATTAATTTTATTACTAGAAATTGAAAACATAGTATTTATGCTTAAAAAAATTTTTCTGGAATGAATGTGTTATTCCCATGTGTTAGTCCAGACTTTATTTTATCCTAAGATATGTTACACTGTTGCGGAATTATCGAATAAACACGAAAAAAAATAATATATCCCACGGAAACTTTAGTTATATCTGGGATCAAATAGTCTATGTTCTTCCAGACTATCCTCTACATATGCTAAATTCCATTAAAAACCGTTCAGCAGTTTAGGCTACAAACTAACCAAAATCCATCGAAACTTTCCCATTAATAATATGGACTAGTTTTCTCTCATGACTCCGTCCGCGTGGAATTAATAAAAAAACAAAAGTAGCCTATGTCTTCTAGACTTATCTTTTACATGTATGACAATCAACAAATTTCATTTTTTCAACACTTTAGGCTACAAACTAACAAACATCCATCTAAATTTTCCCATTTGTAATATTAATAAGAATAATGTTTATTTAAGGTTTTGGTTTCGGTAATACATCGACTTCGGGTACAACTGGCACGGGTCTGTTTGGTTCAACTCCATCAACAAGTACCGGGTTGTTTGGTCAACAGAATACAACCCTAGGCGGTGGTGGTCTGTTCAACAATACTGCTAGTGAGTAACTTGTTCAACATTTAATAGGTTTTTTAGTTAAATAATCTTTATATTATTTTGCTAGTGGCTTTATCTGTGTGAAAAAGAAATATAGCCTATGTTCTCACTGATAATGTAGCTTTTTAATGGTGAATGATTTTTTGACATCAACCCAGTAGTTTTTGAGTTATTTCAATTACAAAAATACAAATCTGTCCGCTTTATAATGTTAATATAATATATATAGGAATTTGTTTATTAGCATTATTTTAAAATGATCTCTTTTATAAACATAAAAATAACTATAGTTGGGCCAGGAAATAAAAATGGAACTTTTTACATACTGATGTGTTGAAGAGCTATGAGAGTGAGAATTTTTATGTTTTTGGACATAATACTTGTTGTTACGGTCGCCACTTTATGTGGCTTATAATCTTCTATTGAAACACACGTATACTTTCACAGTATTTATTGTATTGAGTGTTACTGTTGCTGTTGGATGATTTTACACACACTGATCGATGCGGGGGCACGTAAGACGTTGCGCCAGCAGATTTTAGGGGTGGTCCTGTGCGGTGAGTGGGGGAAGCGCGGACCGGTTTCGCAACCCATCATAAAGCGCTGTTTAGGCGCGAACAATACTTGTTCTGGTTGTTACTCTATTTAATTATTTGGAAATTAAGGAATAGCATGTTTTAACAAACTATTCTTTCATTATTTATTTTGTATACTTATATTATCAAGAGGATTAATTTGTTTTTTTGTATACATTGAAATAACTCAAAAACTACTGGGTCGATTTCAAAAATTCTAATTTTAATTATATTTTTAAATTCACATGAAGTCGGATGCAACAGCTAGTATACATATACTTTTATAAGCTATTTACTTTTATATCGTAACTAGCTTTCGCCCACGACTCCGGCCGCGCGGAATTCAAAAACAAAAGCGAGTAGCTTATGTGTTCTTCCAGACTATCCTCTACATCTATACCAAATTTCATCGAGATCCGTTAAGCCGTTTAGGCTACAAATTCTAACAAACATCCATCCATCCATCTAAACTTTCGCATTTATAATATTAGTAAGATTAAGGTATGAAATAAAATACATCGAAACACTATTAACTTATTTTTTTTTTATAACATAAGATGCCAAACGAGCAAGCGGTCACCTGAATCCGCCAAAATGGCGAAGCGACTGCCCATAGACATCCGCAATTGGAGATGCGTTGCCTACCCTAATACGACGGAGGAGGAGACGCACATGAAGAGGATATTTCCTCTTCCTATGCATCTCCTCCATCGTCAAATCCACTTCCCCTTCCCATCCTCTCATAAGAAAAGGGTGGTAAAGAGAAAGGGACTTAAAGTAGGCCTCCGGCACCACACTCATCAGATGAAACACGGCATTGGTTCCATTTGACGCCTGTCTTCTGTATGGTCGTAGTATTGGGGACGAGCCCTGCAGTGCTAAGATGTTAAAGCGGGCACTACCACTGTTAATGTTTTATTTGGCCGGATATTTATTTTTTTAAACAATTTTCAGGTGCATTTGGACAACAGCAAGCTCCGACTGGTACAGGACATGTGAAATATAATCCGGTTGTGGGTACAGATATGGTTGTCAAATCTGGTACATCGCAAAATGTTAATATAAAACATCACTGCATCACTTGTATGAAGGTATGTAATTAGCTATACTATTACTAATATTATAAATGCAAAAGATTAGATGTTTGTTAGTTTGTAGCCTTAATGGCTGAACAGATCTTGATGAAATTTGGTATAGATGTAGAAGGTAGTCCGGAAGAACACATAGGATACTCGCTTTTGTTTCTTTTTAATTCCAACCGGACGGAGTCGCGGGCGAAAGCTAGTAAATGCGAAAGTTTAGATGGATGGATCTTTGTAGCTTAACGGCTGAACGGATCTGGATGATATTTGGCATAGATGTAGAACATAATTTGGAAGAACACTGGCTACTTTTGTTAATTTTAGACGGAGTCGCGTTAAGAAGCTAGTTTAGATTTCTAATTTTATTATTCCTTATTTTTATATATTTCTTATGTCTATACTCTTTACTGATATAATAAAGCGTAAACACACACTACTTTGTGGCTTAAGATGTCAGCAATTACAGCATATTTTTGAATAATACTTTCTTTAATAAAAAGCCCCACACTTACGTCACGCTTTAGACTATATATTTTCACGCTATTGAACTCAGGGGGTAAATAATATAAAAAACCCCTTAATGTGGGAAGGAGACCATTAACTACAGGGTGACAACATTTAGAGAGCAAAGTTATTATGGTAACGGTAATTTTGACATTTGCAATTAATAATAAAGTTTTTATAACTCCATGCGGATAAAACCGCACGGGAACAGCTAGTAAGAAATAAGAATAGTTTAAAAAAAAAGATTTTTTTCAGTCTTCCTCTACTTTTTGACCGACTTCCCAAAAGAAGGAGGTACTTAATTAGTCCGTATGTTTTTTTTATAGCCATAATTCATTCAATTTCAGGAATATGAAGGTAAATCTTTAGAAGAACTCCGGCTGGAGGACTACACGGCAGGACGGAAGGGAGCCTCCGCTGGAATGTTCTCCAGCTTCCAACAACCGGCTGAGAATAAACCATTGTTTGGTGGATCCAGTAAGTGTTTTATACTAATACAAAACTTACCTTCGCATCTTTTTTCAACCTATTACCTTAATTATTGACTTACTAGCTTTTGCCCGCGACTTCGTCCGCGTGAAATTTGAAAGTACAAAACTTACGTTTGCCCTTTTTTTTAATCTATCACCAAAAGTATTAACTTAGTAGTAATCTACGTAATAACAGAAATCTACCGATACAAGATTCCAAATTTCTAAGTGCAGTAGTTTGTAAGGTGATTTTTCGGTTACCCTTATTGTTTGTGTTCGCGATATCTTCTAAACTATTAGTCCAATTTAAATACTGTAAAGGACAATTTTATTCTACATTAAATTCTCCTGTTACCAAACGCATTTATTTGGATAAGGATTAATATTGGAACCAATAAAAGAACGCCGCAAATAGCGTGAGGTTTTTAATTCGTTTTGTAAACAAAAAAGTGCTTATTGTAAGAAAACCGTTACAGATATATGCTATCGCGGACTTTTCTATAGAACTTTTTGAGATCTACAATTCTTTCATAAATCATTTTTATATACCTCTAACGGTTTAGGCAGCGTAAGCCTAGAAAAGTTAAAGTTTAGTAATTTTTTAACGCCATGGTCCAGAAATATGTTGTTTATTAATACTTCCTAAACATAAATAATAATAAAATATAGCCTATGTTATTCACAGATAAATTATCTTTCTGATGATGAAAGAATTTTGAATATCGTCCCAGTAGTTTTTGAGTTATTTCAATACATACAAAAATACAAATTATTGTATAATGTTTTTCAGCATTTGGTCAACCAGCTACAAGTAGCGCCCCCCTGTTCGGTGGCGGTACTTTGGGAACAACTGGATTTGGACAAACAAGTAAGTTAACTTTGAATTTAAGATTAAAAGATAATACATTTTTACTATAAAAATCTTACTAAATAAAGGGAGTAATGTTCTTATGTATGTAAATTCTATTGCGCCGTTTCATTAGAGTTAGTCGTTTTTTTACTACTTTCGCCCGCGACTTAATCCGCGTGGAATTAAAAAAAACAAAAGTGAGTACCCTATGTGTTCTTCCAGACTATCCTCTACATCTATACCAAATTTCATTGAAAACCGTTCAGCCGTTTAGGCTGCAAACTCTAACTTCCATCCATCTAAACTTTCACATTTATAATATTAGTATGATTGTTTTTCAATCATATTTAACTAATATTTTAAATGCATAAGTTTGTATGGATGTTTGTTACTACATATCTCACTTCTCAATGATTCTCAATTAAATTTGTCACAGATGTATAGATAGTGTGGTAGAACAAATTTATTACTTACATTTTTAATTTCTTATTATTAAATCGTTTTAATTAATATATTATCCAATAGGTACGTTTGCGTTTGGTGGAAATACACAAAATCAAACAACATCGACGGGTTTGTTTGGTAATAAACCTGCGTTTGGAGCTACCAGTACTGCGGGTAAGTTAGTTTCTATCATAAAATACAAATGTTGTAAAGTATAGAAAATTTAATGTAACTCTGTATAATAGAAACGATTAAAAAATAACTGGAACAGATTATAGATTCATTAAAATATAAATTTTTGAAGTGACAGATTTAATGATTTCATTAAAATTGACATTTTTATTAAAATTTACATTTTAATAGAATCTTTTAAATGCAAGTTTTTACCATTGATTTTAACCGATTTAGTTGTAAGTTTGATTAAAATGTGCATTTTTATTAAACCTATGATCTTACTGAAATGTACATTTTAATGAAACCATTAAAGCCATTAATAATAATTCAAATAGTTATTTTAAAATATACTTTTGTATGTATTTGTATTTATCTAGGTACAGGTATATTTGGTACGTCAACTACACAAGCACCAACCTTCGGTACAACGACACCCAGTTTTGGTGCATTTGGCGCGACCACGCAGAACCAAGTAAGTATATAATTATGACAATGTCGGTCGAAAAATACAACTTAATCTATAACTATACTATTATAATAAAGCATAAACACACACTTCTTTGATGCCTAAGATGTCAGCAATTACAGCATATTTTTGAATAATTATTTCGTTAATAAAAAGCCCTACACTTACGTCACGCTTTTGGCCAAACATTTTCACGCTGTTAAACTTGGAGGGTAAATATTTTGTATAAAAACCCTAATATGGGAAAGAGACGATAAGTTGCTGCCAACATCAAGGAAGTAAGATTGTCAAGGTTGACATCATGTCATGTCATTTTGACATTTGCTATTGATAATTTGACAAATGTAAACAATCAAATAAAATTTTCATAATTTTATGCGGAATTTTATAATTTTTTGGTTGGATTTCTAAAATATGTTAGATTGTTAAAGACTAATTTTGCTTCATTTTTAACATAATTATGAATTTATTGATGTGTGTGTTACTGAATGTAGGAAGGTTGAATGTTTTTTTAGTGAAATATCTGACTTAAAAAATGGCGAAATGGTATTTTCTTTATGATTAAAGTTTTTGCTGTTTTTTTTTTAAATCTATTTGTGCGAAGTTTAGAGTAAAATCTAATATTACTTCTTTCTTATATAAATACTAGCTGTTCCCGTGCGGCTTCATCCGCATGAAATTATGACAATTTTATTTTATTGTTTATATTTGTCAAATTATCCATTACAAATGTCAAAATGACATGACATGATGACAACCTTGCTTCCTTGATGTTGGCAGCAACTTTTGGTCTCTTTCCCACATTGGGGTTTTTATCCATAATATTTACCCCCTAAATTTAATGGCGTAGAATATATAGCAAAAAGCGTGACGTAAGAGTACAGCTTTTTATTAAAAAAAATATTCAAAAATATGGTGTAATTGCTGACATATTAGGCAACAAAGAAGTGTGTGTTTACGCTTTATTATAATAGTATAGATGAACATTTGCATAAATATTGATTACTACGTATCTCCAAAACAATTAACGGATTTCGAAAATATTTGTCACAGAAGTAGAACGAATACTAAGTAAGTTTTATTTAATTCCACGCGGGCATTGATTAGTAATTTCTACGTATTCCAGCAAAGCACCGGTTTATTTGGCAAGCCAGCGACTACTGGCTTCGGCACGACGCCTGCCAGTACTGGTTTCGGAGGCTTCGGAGGAGGACTGTTTACTGCCAAGCCGCAGCAGACTACTGCACCTACTTTCGGCACTTCTGCGCCCTCTGGTGAGTTGAAACTACTGATGGGTTGTGGACTATTAGTTGGTTGAAACTGTCAATGGGTTGTAACCTATTAGTTGATTGGGACCTATTAGTAAGTTGGTCACTAATAGAGTAGATTGAAGAACTCTACACAATACCACGACCACACAGAAAACAGACGGGAAGTGGAAGTAATTCCGTGTACAGTCTGATGAGTGTGGTAAGGGGGGACATGTTTGAGTCCCTTTCCTTCCCACCAATTTCTTATAAGGAAAGGATAGGAAGAGAAAGTGGGTGTTGGTGGTGGAAGAGACTCGCTTCCTCTGTCGATTAAAGGTATCCAACGCATCTGCATTTGCAGATGTCATTGGGAAGCAGTCGCTTCGCCTTTTCGGCGAATTCAGGTGGCGGCTCGCTCAATTGCCACCTTGTATTATGTCTAAAAAATAGTGGTAGAATAGGATATATATTTAATGCCAAGAAAAAAATGTAATAAAATAGCTAATATTTGGGACCTATTAGCTGGTTGGAAGCTATTGTAAGGTTAGAAATTGTTGATGGGTTGTGAAATGCTAGCGATAAATTATTCGAACTAATTGCACGAATTAAAAAAAAAATTAGGTCATATCGATTATAAAGCCCTTATATCCTGGTTTGTGGACTCGATTTTGCGGTCGAGGGTTCGAATCCCGCCATTCAACTATTATATCTTAGCAAGTAAAGAGCTTAGTTGGAATGGTTTAAGGAAATATAAGTTAATTAACAAAAATCTACTAACATTTTTATTAATTAAAAAAAAAAGGATTTTGAGATTGAAATATCTCTTTAATATTTTTAAAATCAGTATATATTTTATTTTTTCAGCTTTCGGCAACTTGTCAACCGGTTTCGGGACGAATACCTCTACTGCCGGTTTCTTCAGCAACTTTGGCAAACCGAATACTACGCCGATGTTGGGTGGACAGACACAGAACACTGGATTTGGTAAGTTTGAGTACCATCATCATCATCAGCTCCTTATCCTACTCCCGTAGGCGCAACAGTTTTTGTCCTCCACATAACTCTATCATACGTCATCTCAGTCATCACCTTCATCATGTCACCTTTTACACAATCCATCCATCTCTTTCTACGTCTACCTCTACCGATGTACCTCCACACTCATAACTAACGTTCTGCTTGTAACATGCGATTCATCCCTCCTCATAACATGCCCATACCATGCTAACCTTTTACTCCTTACCTTCTCTACTACGGGGGCTACTCTCAAACTTCCTCTATATATCTATATAGAATATCTATACTAATATAACCGTAAACGCACACTTTATAATGTAAGATGTCAACAATTATACTCATACTAATATTATAAAAAAAAGTTTAGATGGATGATTCTTAGAGTTTGTAGTCTAAACTGCTGAACAGATCTCGATGAAATTTGGTATACATGTAGAGGAAAGTCTGAAAGAATACATATGGTTTTTGCAATTATATAATCTTCGAAAGATTCGGCTTTTAACCTAATCGTGGTAAGAAACCCGTATCTTTAAAAAAAATGTATTCCAGCGGCTGGGGTGGGCGTGGGCACGCTGGGCACGTCGTTCGCAGCCAAGCCAGCTGCGCCAGCGTTCGGCAATCTGGGCACTGGCTCGCTGTTCTCGCAGCCACAGCAAAATAATACATTCAGGACTGGTGAGTGGAAAAAACTAAATGTATGGGTAATAAAATTATATAACCTATGTTACTCAGTGATAACGTAGCTTTTTATGGGCGGAAGAATTTTTTAAATCGGTCCAGAAGTTTTTGAGTTATTTCGATATATACAAAAATACAAAATGTTCCTCTTTATAATATTAGTATAGATGTAATATTTAGTAATTAATGTATGTAATTTATATCTTCTATACTATTATAATAAAGCGTAAACACACATTTCTTTGTTGCCTAAGATGTCAGCAATCATAGTATATTTTTGTATAATTCTTTCTTTAATAAAAAGCCCTAAACTTTCGACACGCTTGAGGCTATATATTTTCTCGCTTTTAATTATAGGGAGTAAATAATAAAAAAAATATAATGCGGGAAAGGTACAAAAAGCAAGATTGCTGGTAACGGTATTATCTAATACCAAAGGCTTTTGACATTTTCAGTTTAAATTGTCACAAATGTAAACAATAAAATAATGTTTATTATAATTCGGGAACAGCTCGTTTATGTGTAACTAGCTGTTCCCATGCGACTTCATCCGCATAAAATTATGAAAATTTTACTGTTTACATTTGTCAATTGCAAATGTCAACATGACATGACAAACCATGGCAACCTTTTTCCTTGATGTTGGCAACAACTTATGGTCTCTTTCCCACATTAAAGTTTTTATCCAAAATATTTATCTCTTAAGTTTAATGGTGTGAAAATATATAGCCTAAAGCGAGACGTAAGAGCAGGGCTTTTTATTAAATAAAGAATTATTCAAAAATATGGTGTAATTGCTGACATATTAGGCAAGAAAGGAGTGTGTGTTTCCCCTTTATTATAAGTATAGATTTAGGTATTTATCGCAGTATTTTATGTTTCCAGGTCTAGATAGTGGTCTGGGGAACAGCATGTTCGGTACAACGCCCTCGCTCGGTACTGGATTGTCGCTTGGAGGATTTAATGCTAATACTACGCCTACGCTCGGGTAAATATGTATTAAAAATAGCTTTCACCCGCGACTCCGTCCGCGTGGATTAAAAAAAAAGTGAGTAGTCTATGTGTTCTTCCAGAATGACCTCTGTTAAGAAATGAGGTTGTAACATACAACCTCATTTATAACTTATAAGACATCGAACGCTTTTTATATTTTTATATTTGACTTGTTCTTTTTTTAATATATGACAATTTATAAATATGTAAAAACAAACATATTTTTTCACTTCGCAATCGATCGTTTTCCATTCACCCCGCCTCCAATCTTTAACACCTCTATGTCTATGACAAATTTCATCCAGATTTCTTCAGTTGGCTACAAACTCTAACAAACATCCATCCATCTACAGTTTCACATCTATACTATCTGTACTATTATAATAAAGCGTAAACACACACTTCTTTGTTGCCTAAGATGTCAGCAATTACACCATATTTTTGAATAATTTTTTAATAAAAAGCCCTGCTCTTACGTCTCTCTTTAGGCTATATATTTTTACGCCATTAAACTTAGAGGGTAAATATTTTGGATAAAAACCCTAATGTGGGAAAGAGACCATAAGTTGCTGCCAACATCAAGGAAGCAAGATTGTCGAAGTTTGTCATGTCATGTCATTTGGACATTTGCAATTGATAATTTGACAAATGTAAACAATAAAAATTTTCATAATTTCATGCGGATGAAGCCGCACGGGAACAGCTAGTTTATTATATTAGTATATGTATGTATGTATGTGTGCAGTGGGGGCAGTGCGGCCGCTAGCGGAGTACACGAGCAGATACTGGCTCTAGCAGCTAGACCTTACGGTGACTCCCCGCTTTTTAAAGACCTCCTGCCTGATGTTGGTGAGTTTTTTTTATATAAATTAATATTCCACTATTAATAATATGTGTAAAACAAAATTTAATGCTTAAATTTTTAATATATAATAGATTGTTTCTATTTTGATAAGCTTTTTTAAAATAACTCAAAAACTACTAGGTAGTTTTTAAGTTTGGAAATATGGTGACCAAATGGCAGATATTCCGCATCAATCTAGTAAAGATCTAAGTAAATTGTATCATACATCACAGAGATATTGAAGACATGTCTTCTGTGTGGTCGTGGTATTGGGGCCGTGCCGGCCCTGCAGTGCTAACATGTTAAAGCGGGCACTACCACTGTTAAACAAAGGCTACAAACTCTAACAAACATCCAACTAAACTTTCGCATTTATAATAGTAGAAAGAAAGAAAGAAAGGAAGAAGGAAGGAAGGAAGGAAGGAAGGAAGGAAGGAAGGAAGGAAGGAAGGAAGGAAGGAAGGAAGGAAGGAGGGATGGAAGGTAGGGAGGGAGGAAGGAAGGAAGGAAGGAAATTTATTCAGAAAAAGAAAAGGAATTCATTCGGCATGTGCTCTCGGTGTACACCGAAGCGCCGGTTTTCAATGATTCTTAAAAACAGAACACGCAGTTTTACAAAATAGTAGAAGCAAACCTAATCAAAATCTAAAACTAGGGATAAATATATAAAAAAAAAACACAAATTAAAACATTTAGATCTTATTTTATGTAACTAAATTATTTTAAAACTAACATTACTTATACTGGGTTACTGAAGTTTATTTTCACTTTATCATAACCTAAAACTAGGGATAAATATAAAAAAAACACAAATTAAAACATTTAGATCTTATTTTATGTAACTAAATTATTTTAAAACTAACATTAGTTATACTGGGTTACTGAAGTTTATTTTCACTTTATCATAACCTAGTGATTCATTAGTGTTAAGCTAAGTTTCAAATGAAATGTTATGTATTAGTATGATGAAATGTTCCAGGTGCGTCAGCAGAAGAAGCATTAAAACCGACGAATCCCGCGGCGCTGAAGGCGGCGCTCGACTCCGCGTACAAAGTCGCCTCGCCCACCTCCGGCCGCCTCAGAGTCATGCCGAGACCTGTTATATCACATGATAAGGTACATATATCTATACTAGCTTTCGCCCGCGACTCCGTCCGTAATATCCGTAATAAAAGTGAGTAGTCTATATGTTCTTCCAGACTGTCCTCTACATCTATACTAAATTACATCGAAATTCATTCAGTCGTTTAGGTTACAAACTCTAACAAACATCCATCCATCCATCTAAACTTTTACTATATAACTTATATACTATTATAATAAAGCGTAAACACACACTTCTTTGTTGCCTAAAATGTCAGCAATTACACACTATTTTCGAATAACTCTTCTTTTAATACAAAGCCCTACACTAACGTCATGCTTTAGGGTATATATTTTCACGCCATCAACTTAGGGAGTAAATGTTTTGGATAAAAACCCTAATGTGCGAAAGAGATCATAAGTTGCTGCCAACATCAAGGAAGCAAGGTTGTAATCATGTCATGTCATTTTGACATTTGTAATTGATAATTTGACAAATGTAATCAATAAAACAATTTTCATAATATCATGCGAACGAAGTCGCAGGGGAACAGCTAGTATTATATAATAAATAGAAGTGCACCGGCTGTGGAATCCAATGACTCAAGCAACCAGTGGTGAGGGCAGAGACAGGAACCTCCTCACTATGCGTGCGGTTTCTAAAATAACCGCCTTTTGTATCGGGCCGTTTTAATTCGACTTATTTTTGTTTTCAGAAATCATTATTCGATGGCTTAGAAGAATCTGATCCTAGTTTGGAAGATAAATTGTCTTTGAAACCGAGTCGTAAAAGGTTAATATTACGACCAAATTCTACCAGAAATGATGTCAGAGATGCTGGAAATACAATAGACAGTGTTAATAGGTGAGAGGCTATACGTGGTTATGTTCGTATTTTACTAATATTATAAACTAGCTTTCGCTCCTGACTCCGTCCGCGTGATTAAAAATAATCCAAATCGATTTGTTACTAGATTTTTTTATATGCAATATGCATATGACGCCAAATTGCACCAAACTTTTTTTAAGTATACTTTATTACTATAAAAACATTCCTGCAAAGATTTTTTTAAATGTAATGTGATTTAGTGGCAAAATTTAATCAATAAAAAGTGTCTTTTTTTTAAATTCCCTCTCAATGTTCTAAAACGCACACTATTGGTCGAAGCAAGTGGCTTATCAAAGCGTATGTTATGAATGGAATAAGACGATTGACGTCAATTGTCTCATGTCAACTCCGGTCTCGTTTTGTCACTCGAAAATGGTCGTCGTTTTATTTTATTATTTTTAGCTCAATAATTGAATATTTTCGCATCAATTTTTTTTTCTGGTTATTTTATAACAAGTAGAATCGTTTAAAAAATAAAAAAATACGTGCATATTCCCTATTCTACGATGATAAACTTGCGGGTAATGAAATGTCTATACATATAAGATTGCAGATATGTAATATATAAAAAAAGACACACGACCACACAGAAGACAGGCGTGAAGTGGAAGCAATTCCGTGTACAGTCTGATGAGCGTGGTGCCCAAGGCTTAATTTCAGTCCCGTTCTCTTTACCACCCTTTTAATATAAGGAGTGGATGCGAAGGAGAACTGGATTTGACGTATACGTCGTACCTACCCTTATACGTCGTATAAGGGTAGGCAACGCATCTGCAATTGCGGATGCCTGGGCAGAGGTCGCTTCGCCATTTTGGCGGATTCAGGTGGCCGCTTGCTAGTTTGCCACCTTATGTTATAAAAAAAAAGATTTTTCGAGAACATAATGAGAGCATTGCTCATAATGAAAAAGCAATTTTAAACTTTTTTGCCTGTCTGTGTGTTCCGTCTAATCTCGTTAACTGCTAGATATATTGATACTGTAAGACTAGCTTCCACCGGCAACTCCATCCGCGTCGTCTTAATAAAAACAATAACAGCCTATGTGCTCTTCCAGGCTATCCTCTACATCTATGCCAAATTTCATCCAGATCCCTCCAGACTTTCAGGCTACAAACTCTAACAAACATCCATCCATCTACATTTTCACATTTATAATATTAGTAAGATATTTTGATAGGACTTTTACTGTAGATAATGTATGTGAAAATGTTATAGTGTATTTTATTTATTGATTTTTATCTTAAATTCCATATAAATGTTTGTAGGTCATTAGAAGATTCCCGTGCGGAGATGAGTGACACACGCGACGCTCACGACGGCCCGCCCTCAACCTCAGAACATAGGAATGATGTTAACAGTATGTATATATATACTAACTAGCTGTTCCAGGGCGGTTTTATCCGCTTGAAAATATGAAATTTTTCATTTTATTGTTTACATTTGTCAAATTATCAATAGCAAATGTCAAAATGACATGACATGACAAACCTTGACAATCTTGCTTCCTTGATGTTGGCAGCAACTTATGGTCTCTTTCTCACATTAGGGTTTTTATCCAAAATATTAACCCCTAAGTTTAATAGCGTGAAAATATGTAGCCTAAAGCCTGTCGTAAGTGTAGTGCTTTTTATTAAAAGAAGAATTATTCAAAAATATGGTGTAATTGCTGACATCTTAGGCAACAAAGAAGTGTGTGTTTACGCTTTATTATAATAGTATAGAAGAGTATAGATAATAAAACGTAAACACACTTTGTGGCGTTAGATGTCAACAATCACAGTATATTTTTGAATAATACTTTCTTTAATAAAAATCTTAACACTTTTATCACGTTATAGGCTATATATTTTCGCGCTATTAAACTTAGGAGGTGAGTAAATTGGAAAAAATGACAGAAAGGGACAGTAAATACAAGGCAATAGTAAATCAAGATTGCTGGTAATGGTAATTGTTTTTCGAAATCAAATGCAAATAAAAGTTTTACTAAATATTAACAAAAAAAAGTTTTAATAAAATGCGGATAAAGCCGTAGGTGAACAGCTAGTATGAAGTACTTTTCTAATATCTATACTGTCTATACTATTATAATAAAGCGTAAACACACACTGCTTTGTTGCCTAAGATGTCAGCAAATACAGCATATTTTCGAATAAATCATTTTTTAAATAAAAAGCCCTACACTTACGTCACGCTTTAGGCTATATATATTCACGCTATTAAACTTAGGGGGTAAATAAATTGATTAAAAATCCTAATGTGCGAAAGAGATCATAAGTTGCTGCCAACATCAAGAAAGCAAGATTGCTAAGTTTTGTAATGTCATGTCATTTTGACATTTGCAATTGATTCGACAAATGTAAACGATAAAATAAAGTTTTTATAATTACTTGCGGATGAAGCCGCATGGGAACAGCTAGTTTTTAATATTCTTTTTTTTATGTGTTACAGATTCCGATGTCAATATTGATAAACATACTAATTGGTAAGTTACAGTTACTTTAGTAACTTTTTCTTTATAACCTTATTTTAACCGCGACTATGTCTGCTTTGAATTGTCATACTTCATACTATTATAAATGTGAAAGTTTAGATGGATGTTTGTTAGAGTTTGTAGCCTAAACTGCTGAACGGATTTTTATGAAATTTGGTATACATGTAGAAGATAGTTTGAAAGAACACATAGGGTACTCACTTTAGTTTTTTTTTAATTCCACACGGACGGAGTCGCGGGCGAAAGCTAGTAAAAAATTAAAGAAGTCGTATTCTTCCAGACTATGCTCTATATCTTACTAATGTAAATACGAAAGTTTAGATGTATGGATGGATAGATGTTAGAGATTGTAGTATAAACTACTGTATGGATTTTGTATGGATTTTGGGAAATTGGGTATGGATGTAGAGGATAGTCTGGAACACAGGATACTTGCTTTTGTCTATTTTAATTACACGCAGACGGAGTTGTAGACGAAATTTAGTCTATGATAAATTTCATTGGAGATACGTAACAAACATCCATCCATACAAACTTTCGCATTTATGTTAGTATAACGAATGCGGCGATGAGGAGACGAAATAAAACACTAGGTTTTACAAAACAACGGGTGCGCACAGTTCGTTCGCCGGTCGACGTACAAGTTATATGCCGACCACCCTCAAATTACACTTTATTTTTTTCACTTAAAAACTACCAACTGTTTTTACATGTACCTCGGTAGAAAATACTGGCTTATATTTAACAAAAATAATTATATAAAAATAATACAAAAATACCATAAAAAGGCTTTTAAAATTCTATCGTCAACAGGCTCAGTGGAAGTAGAGTATCTTGGGCTGAGAAAGAAAAACCAGCTGATGGCGCTGAAACTCCAAGATTGTATCCCAACTTAGGTAAGTTATAAGTTATGGCTGTTGCTCTTGTCATCGTCTGCGTAACAAAAAATATAGCCTATGTTATACACAGATAAATTACCCTTCTATTGGTGAAGGAATTTTTAAAATCGGCCCAATAGTTTTTACGTGAATCGAATACATACAAAAATATAAATCTTTCTTCTTTATAATGTTGGTATAAACTAGTTTCCAGTGAGTTACAGTATGAAAAAATAAACTACATATCCCTCTGGAACTTAACATTTCTGTATATATTCCATCTATACTATTATAATAAAGCGTAAACACACACTTCTTTGTTGCCTAAGATGTAAGAAATTACACCATATTTTTTAATTATTCCTTTTTTAATAAAAACCTTACAGTTACGTCACGCTTTAGGTTATATATGTCATGTCATGTCATTTTGACATTTGCAATGGATAATTTGACAAATGTAAACAATGAAATATAATTTTCATAATTTCATGCGGATGAACCCGCACGGGAACAGCTAGTTCCATATATTTCTGATTGTGTTCCAGAATTTTATATGTGTGAAAAATAATAAGCTGTTTTGAACTGTTGTAAACGTATAAAGTAAACATGAGAAAACTAAATTATTGTATCCCATTGGAACCCTATTTCCGGGATCAAATAGTTTATTTGTTCTTCCAGACTATCCTCTACATATATGACTATTATCGAGATTCGTACAGTTTAGAAAACAAACTAACAAACATACATATAAACTTTTTCATTTATAATATTAGTAAGTATTTTTCATATTATTTATTTGTATTTTCTTTTCACAGATAAAGAGATGCCAGAAGTATCGGAAAGGCGTGCCAGTTGGTGAGTTAAATTATCTTTTACTAGCTGTTCTCATGCGACTTCATCCGCATAGAATTATAAATATTTCATTTTATTGTTCACATTTGTCAAATTGTTAATTGCAAATGTCAAAATTGACATGACAAAACTTGGCAATGTTGCTTCCTTGATGTTGGCAGCAACTTATGGTCTCTTTCCCACATTAGGGTTTATATCCAAAAACTTTAATATGGGAGTTTTCCCACAGTTTATCGGCGTGTAAATATATAGCATAAAGCCTGACGTCAGTATAGGGCTTTTTATTAAAAAAAAAGTTATTCAAAAATATGGCGTAATTGTTGACATCTCAGGCAACAAAGAAGTGTGTGTTTACGCTTTATTATATTAGTATAGATATCACCTTTGTGTGTATATTTTTAGTTTTTCAGTGGCTATAATATTTTTTACTAATTCGAAGTCAAGACTATACAATTTTAGATAATTAATAGTGGAATTCTATACAATTGAGAAATTGTCCACATTTCAAATATTGTAAAATTTCTGTTAGCCTTATAACGATGAACTTTGTTTAGATAGATTTGTTATAACTCCTTATTTATATTGAATTCTTTTTTTAATATTACAAAAACCTTAACACACTAATGTATTGCTAGCTTTCGCCCGCGACTCTGTCTTTGTGGAATAAAAAATAACCAAATCTAACTAGCCTTTGTGTGACTATACTTCTATACCAAATTTCACTCAGATCTGTTCAGCAGTTTAGGATACAAACATACATCTAAACTTTCGCATCTATAATATCATCATCGTCATCTTATCCTACTCCCGTAGTGTCGGCGCGACAGGTTTTTGTCCTCCACATAACTCTATCATACGTCATCTCAGTCATCACTCCCTTCATCATGTCACCGTTCACACAATCCATCCATCTCTTTCTAGGTCTACCTCTACCGATGTACTTCCACACTCATAACTAACGTTCTCCTTGTAACATGCGATTCATCCCTCCTTATAACATGCCCATACCATGCTAACCTTATATGATAACCTTCACCTTCGCATCTATGATATAAGTAACAATAATAAGATTTTGTACAGATTCGTCATTAAAAAATCAAAATCTAATTTCTATTAACTTTTGACATCAACAGGTTGACAACAAAACCATTACGTAAACCATTGGCTTCTAATTCCGATGCTGCGGAGAATTCTGTGCGAGAGTTGGCTGTGCGGCCGCAAGCTTCACTGGACAAAGAAAATGTTGATTCTAGCTCTGGTAAGTGCATTTGTGGGCAGTGCAGCTAATGTTTGTGGGCAAAGTGTGGATATGTGTGCAATATTAGGCAAACAGACCTAGTAAAAAAAGTTTGGGTGATGTTAGTGGGAAAAGTGTGGATTATATTTGTGGGTAAAGTATAGACAACTGTGAGTTATTTGACAAAGTGTGGGAAAATTAGTAGGCAAAGTGTAAGCTAATGGGCGAAGTATGAGTAATATGAGTAGGCAAAGTGTGTTTTTATGAGCTACGTGTGGGCAATATTAGTAGGTTTAGTGTGAGCTAGTTGGCAAAGTAAGGATAATATTATTAGGCTAGTGGGCAATACGTTTGTAGGGGAATTATTCGTGGGAGAAGTGAACTAGTGGGCAATACGTGGGTAACACTAGAAATAAAACGAAAAATCTAGTTGTAAGTGGTCGATGAGTGTGTTAGTGGTTAAAATGTGGGCAACAGTAACTATCAAAATGTCAAATAAATTTTGATAAGGATTAAATTAAGAAGTCTAGTAAACATACCTTTCTCAATACATTTTCCATACAAATCATGCATTAATACTATCGGTTACATCTTGTTTTTGAGACATATACCAAAAAAAATGATTTAAGAATACCTATTTTCCTTATATTCCTTTCCACTAGTTCTTTAACCCTTTCCTATTTGTAAATTCCTTGTTCCTTCCTCTCCCCTGCTAGAATGTGGTCCTGGTGAGCTGTTCATCTTCTGCTGCCATCGCTGGGGGCAGGAGCCGGGCTGTTCCCGCTGCGAGACGCTCGCTAAGCAAATTGCTGGATTATACGGTTCATTGTCTTTTAGTTCATTCATTCATTCGTTCATTGAATATTTTTGAGAAAGGTATGTTTAATTAGGATAGTGATAAAAGGATCTGTAGAAATAATTGCTCAATTAAAATGGGTTCATTTTTTATTTATTGTAGTTTCATTCATTCATTCGTTCATTGAATGTTTTTAAGAAAGGTATGTTTGATTAGGATAGTGTTAAAAGGATTAGTAGAAAAAATTGTTCATTTAGAATGGGTTCATTTTTATTGTATTGTAGTTTAGTTCATTCATTGAATGTTTTTGAGAAAGGTATAAATAAATATTAAATAAGTTACTCTTAAAGGGATTATTTTTTATTAATTTTTTTTTAATAATCTGTTCGTTCATTCTTTAGAACAGGTACATTTTAATTTGTTGTTAGTTCATTCATTCATTCTTTGTATATTTTGGGATTACAATAGAGAACTATAATGAAACCACCAATTTTGATCGATTTTATTAAAAGGTAAGACAAAGAGTAAGTTACAAAAGAGTACAGGCATAGACTATTTAAGAACATAAAAGAGTATAGATTATAAAGATATGAATTAACAAGAACGATATATTTTTATTACTTCAGAAGTAGAATTTTTATTTGCTTTATTCCTTTATTTGATTAAAATACATGCTTATGCACGCGTATTTGATCGCGATTTAAAAAAAATTAAGAAATATACATGTTTTTTCTTTAAAATATTAGTAAAAAATTAAATCTTAATTATTTTCTATATATTGTATTTAATTTATTTTATTTTCTCGTATTTTCAGTATCGGAAGAAGAGGTAATAGAACAGGAGACGGCGCCTCATCCCGCGGGAATAAAACTCCAACGGCCGGGATATTATACTATACCTTCGTTAGAAGAATTAAAAGGTAAATATATTTTTTAACTACATATAACTTAGATATGTTAGTCCAAGGGAAACACAAAATACTTTAAGTTATAGAGGTTTTAAGTTATCAAGGGTCTATGTTAGAGGTTTTGGGCTCTGATGGGAAGGGAATATATTTTTTGAAGTTTTAGGTTTTTAAGTTATCGAGATTTTACTGTATTGTATATTAAACATAGTAAATAACGAACAAGTACTAATTTTACCAAAAAAATGGTGCATAAAATATGACTCGAAGGAACATTACAAGTTACCGTATTTAAAGACTAGCTTTAGCCAGCTATTTTGTCCGCCTTGAATAAAAAAAAAACAAAAAGTGAGTAGCCTCAGTATTTCTTCTAAACTATCCTCTAAGTCTATGTTAAATTTCATCAATATCCGTTCAGACGTTTAGGCTAAAAGCTCATTTAATATATTTAAATCTACGTTATCAAAACATATTAGATAATTGTGAGAATCTATAAAGTAGCTAGTTTTCGCCTGCGACTTTGTCCCTGGAATTAATGAAAACAAAAGTAAACTATGTATTCTTACAGAATATCTGTACATGTATGAAAATAATCGATATCCAGAAGTATAGGATACAAATTAACAAACATATGTATAAACTTTTATTAAGATTAAATTAGAATATCAGTAGTTTTCTGTTTTCTTCATTGGTCCTTCGAGTCGGATATCGCTCTTTTCGTTCATTAACTCTCATTCGTTCAATTCCAGATTACATTCGCGCCGATGGCTCCTGTATTGTACCTAATTTTACAATCGGACGGAAGAATTACGGCAAAGTCTTCTATGATTGTGAAATGGACGTCGCTAATTTAGATTTGGATACGTTGGGTAAGTTATTAAATCCTTATTTCACTAGTGTTATTTTTAGGTGTATTTTTTTTTGTACCTGGGCATTTTCGTCCGTTAATATAAAAAAAAAACAAAAGTAGCCTATGTGTTTTTCCAGACTATTTTCTACATTTATACCAAACTAGCTGTTGTCGTGCGGCTTCATCCACATGAAATTATGAAAATTTTATTTTATTGTTTATATTTCTCAAATTATCAATTGCAAATGTCAAAATGACATGACATTACAAACCTTAGCAATCTTGCTTCCTTGATGTTGGCAGCAACTTATGGTCTCTTTCCCACATTAGGGTTTTTATCCAAATTATTTACACACTAAGTTTAATAGCGTGAAAATATATAGCCTAAAGCGTGACGTAAGTGTAGGGCTTTTTATTAAAAAAAGAATTATTCAAAAACTTGCTGTAGTTGCTGACATCTTAGGCAACAAAGTAGTGTGTGTTTACGCTTTATTATAATAGTATAGAAAACAATGGTTTGTTATTCTAATAGGAAGTTTGAAAGTAGCGCCAGTGGTGGAGAAATTGAGAAACAAAAGGTTAGCGTGGTATGGACATGTTATGCGACGAAATGATGGGGACATAAACCAGAAAGTGTTAAGAATGAATGTGGCTACAAAGGTAGAGGAAGACCAAAGAAAGTATGGATTGTGTGAAAGAGGATATTGTGAAAGGAGTGTATTCAGGTATGACGGCTGATAGAGATGTATGGAGCACATACTGTGCCGACCCTCCGTAAGGGATAAGGGCAAGTTGATGATGACATTATAATACATTTAAAAGTAAAAAAACAAAACCTTGCCAGTTGACAAATATTAAATCAAAATGTAATAATCTAGGTTTGGTTGATTTTTCAATCATACATTCCACACGTAAAGGCTTTTAAATCGCTATTTTTATGTTTTAAGTCCCGGAATTCATGCTGCCAATTCCACAATTTGATTATTTTATACCGTTAGGCGGTATACAACCAAAACCGGAAGCACTTCCGGCACTTAAAAATGCAATTAATAATAATAGTAACAGATATCCAGGAAAATAGAAAAGTATACTCATCCTACTGGTTACTTTTAGACAACTTATTTAATTGATACTGTCGCTTTAAACTCGGAGCAACACTTCTTAAGACTCAGGTTGCGCGCCAATCTCTCCATACTTCTAGTGACATTGACAGCTGTCAGCTAGAGACGTGACGTTTATGCAGATAATATAGAGTTGCGCCAATTTTATATAACGGTACTAATTTTGTTCCTAACATTACGAAAAAATGATGATGATGAAATGTGATTTTTGTGTGTTTTAGTGCACTTTTTGAACAAGGAAGTGATAATCTACCCGGAGGACGGCGACAAGCCGGCGGTGGGCGAGGCGTTGAACCGCAGAGCTGTGGTTACGTTGGACCGCGTGTGGCCGCGGGACAAGACGCAGCGGCGCTTGATTGTTGAACCTGATAGGTATGTTTTATTTAATATTTTTTATAATATAAAGTGGCAAACGAGCAAGCGGCCTGAATCCACCGAAATGGAAAGCGACCGCTGCACAAAAACATCCGCAATTGCAGCGCTGTCTACCCTTCATTGACAAAGGAGGCGCATAAAGAGGACATTTCCCCTTCCTATGCGTCTCCTTCACCGACAAATCCATTTTTTCTTAGCATCTTTTCCTCTTGACAAAAGGGTAGAAAGGGAAAAGCACTAAAATGAGGCCTCCAGCACCACACTCATCAGACGAAACACTTGACTTGTAATGTACAGGTCTTGAGTTCGAATCCCGCTGTACCAATATGATTTTAAATTTTTCGAATTTTTATATGTACATAATTTACCCGACGTTCTTACGGTGAAGGGAAACATCGTGATGCCTGCACACATCGGCGAAGAAATTCAAAGATATGTGTGAAGTCAACCCGCAGTGCAAGTTGACTATGTCCTAGTCACCCTAAGTTAGGGTAGGCTCCCCCCTCAGTAACGTATAGTGAGCTGGTGATGACGAGATTATATTCACTAAGGAGAGCCTACACTAAGTTAGTATAGTCACCGCACTGCGCGACTTCACTCATATCTGTGATTTTCTTCACCGTACATATGTTTTCATTAAACGTAACTTTAGAAAAAATGTTTTTTTTTTTTTAATATGACTTGTTTTTTTACTTATAGACTGCTACAAATGGATTACGAAGGGAAATTAAGACGCGCCTGTGAGAAACATGAGACAAAGTTCATAGAGTATAGACCGCAGACTGGAAGTTGGGTGTTCCAAGTAAGTTAAAAAAAAAAAAAATAAAAAAACAATGTAATTAAGTACTAAATAATACAAACGTAATTAAAATCAAAACAAATATTTAAAACTAGCTGTTACCCGCGACTATCCTCGTAATATTTAGACAAAAAGTAGCCTATATCATGCCCGTTTATGTCAGCTACCCTTCAGTAAAAGTCTGGTAGAAATCGGTCTAGCCGTTTCGGGGGCTATCCGGAACAAACGCGGCTTGCCGACAGACAAACAGATTTTTTTTTAATAAAATTGGAGTGTGGAATATCAAAATAAAACTTCCAGATCTGAAAGATGTCGTATTTACGTTGCTGAAAACCAAACACGCATTTAAAACTTTTTTTTTCTGTCTCTATATCTGTCCGCAAGCCTCTTTGTTTCGGGTAATCACCGAAACGACTGGGCCAATTAAGAAATCGGAGGATAGCTAACATAGACCCGCATATTATAGGCTACTTTTTAAATTTTTTACTTTTTTTTAAATTGGCGTAACGGGTGGTCCGAATTGCTAACGAAGTTTGCGGCCGACAACTCGTTTATAATATTGGTAAATAAATAAGACAGTATGTTTAATGGTATTATTGAAATTAATAAATAACTCCTCTAAATATGTCTCATAATAATGTTATGCGACGAGACGATGGAGACATAAACTAGAAAGTGTTAAGATTGAATGATGGCTACAAAGGTAGAGGAAGACCGAAGAAAGTATGGATGGATTGTGTAAAAGGGGTTACAGTTATGACGGCTAACAGAGGTATGGAAGAGCAGCACACACTGTGCCGACCCTCCGTAAGGGATAGTGGATGATGGAAAAAATTCTCTAAAATCTAAATCTTACTAATATATGTAAAAGTTTAGATAGATGGATGATTATAAGATACCTTATTTAATTCCAAGCGGACGGAGTCGAGTGTATAACTAGTAGATCATATAGCGATGAAAATTGGGTAAATTTCCTAATCATCATCACCAGCTCACTATACGTCCCCACCGAGGGGCTCGGAGCCTACCCTAATAAGGGGTGACTAGGCCATAGTCAACCACGCTGGCCAAGTGCGGGTTGGTTGGTTGACTTCACACATATCTTTGAATTTCTTCACAGATATGTGCTGCATCACGATGTTTTCCTTCACCGTAAGAACGTCGGGTAAATTATGTACATATGAATAATCGAAAAATCGAAAATCACATTGGTACAGCGGGATTCGAACCCAAGACCTGTAGATTACAAGTCAAGTGTTCAAACCACTGAGCCACCGACGCTCTTCTTCCTTTCCTATCTTCTTCTTCTCTCCTTCTTAATTTCCTAATATTATAGTATTAATGTGTTTTCCAGGTGGAACACTTCAGTAAATACGGATTAACGGACTCTGATGAAGAAGACGATATCTCCCCGGATGTGCTGAAGCGACAGCTGATGAAGCAAGCCCTGCAGAAGACAGCTGCTGGTATACTATAAAAAATCTGTACTAATAGAGAGGAAATATTTGTATTTTTGTATGTGTTGAACTCAAAAACTACTGGGACAATATTAAAAATTCTTACAGCGTTTGATAGGTAGTTTGTCTGTAAGTAACATACATAGGTTATGATTTTTGTTATTTTTTTATTTCACGCAGACAAATTCGCGAGTAATAGCTAGTATGTAATATTATAAAGGGGAAAGTATGTGTTAAACTCAAAAACTACTGGAACGATATTAAAAATTCTTTCACCGTTTAAAAGGTAATTTGTTTGTGAGTTACATTGGCCCTTTAATTTTTATTATGTTTTAATTTTACGTAGACGAAGTCGCAAGCAACAGCTAGTACAATATAATAACAGCTTTTTATTGTTTTCAGCACCAAAACAGCCAGTACCAGTGCAACCGACAGGACTTGGGGGTCTAGGGGGCCTTGGAGGTTTGGGCCTGGGGGGCGTTGGGGGTCTGACCACCCTGCCTGGTACAAGTTCCAGTGAAGATATGTTTATGCAACGATCTTCTTTGGATTTACTGAATGGAACTGAAAAAGGTAAGATTTTTTAGTAGGGCAGATTTTTACTCGACTGCAAGAATTTAATTTTTGTCTAAGTAGTGTTATTTTTTTTTGTTTGAGCGATTTTATAAAATAAAAAGATAGTTTGCCCTACTGATTAAGTTTTTCTTAATTTGCCCTACTCGTAAGCGCTCGTTTTGGTTGATTTTATGCCTTAATTACTTTTATTTTAAGTCTGAATTTCATTCGTTTTATATGTAGAGAGTTTTATCTAATTTATAAGTTGGGTATACTTGTTTAAATAGCTAGATTTTTCAAATTAAATAAAAATCTAGTTATTTATCTATCCTATGTCCTTTAGTGATAATGTAGCTATCTAATAGTGAATTTTTTTTTTAAATAACTCCAGTAGTTTTTGAGTTTATCGGTTACATATAAATGTAAACTTTTCTTTGTGTTTTTTTTTCAGTGTTCGAAATGGATACGACAGAGGACTGTACTGAAGCTCCGTCGTTATATCCGGATAGTTTAGGTAATTATTATTAAATGTGATTTTTATTGTCTATAGCTTGCATATATATATTCTCGCTTTTTTATTAAATTAAATAATAATAAAAAAAAAAAAACAAAAAAGTATTTGTGCTTGTAAAGTTTTTGTATCTATTTCCGTGATTTTTTAATTCGTTTTAATAAATTTAAATTGAAATATTTTAAGTAATGATTAATTATTTTTTTACTGTCGTTTAAAATAACATTGTTTGTTTAAAAATAACTAGCTTTTGTCTTAATGTAATAAAATTGTAATTTTGCATAGTGTTTTAGTAAATTTAATATTGTAAATGTGTATTATGTATATTTTGTTTATTGTAGAAAATAAATTAGTGTATTTGTCATATAAATTAAAAAATTATTTACCTGACTGGGTTTCTTGCTGGTTCTTCCCAGGATAAAGGGTTTTTGTTCCGAACCAGTGGTAAATATATAGTTATTATGTAGTTATTTTAGAAGATAATATATTTAAATAGTAAAAAGATGTTTTATTATAAATTAAATTTATAAATAAATTACAATTATTTTATTTCTTTGTACGTAATAAATATTACTATATGAATGGAGTATTCTTTATTTTATATGATACATTTATGTAAAGATAATAATGTGACTCACGCCTGTAACCTAGAGAGGTAGGCAGAGTTGATATTCTTACCTCTCACTCCAAACATCTTTAATTTTTCTCAATGACAAGTTTTCGCCCTCGACTTCGTCTGCTAGGAATTTAAAAAATACGTAGTAAGTACTTTTCATTTAAAAAAAATCTTATTAATGTGTTCTTCCAGAATATTCTCTACGTATATGACAAATTTCATACAGATCCGTTGAGCCGTTTTGGACATATGTAAAAAACATCCATCCATACAAACTATTACATTTATTATATTAGTAAGAACTATATGTTGTAATTTAATACGAAATGTTTAAGATTATCGACCCATTGAAATTTTTAAACATAAAAGAATTCAATAGTTATGCAAAAATATGTTATTAACAACAAAAGCAATAGTTATAAGTTTTTTTTTAATTTTTCAGCTTTCGGTGTGAAAAGTCCTACAAGTGAGTTAGCAAAGCTTGAACACCGCGGCAGCCATAATGTGCAGTTAATGAAGGCATCGTTATACGCTGATATTGGTGGGTAGTTTAAAATTATTATGATACGAACTTAATTTCCAGGACACTGTCCCGATTTTTGAACTTAATAAACAAAAAGGATCACGGCTTAAATATAGGATATGCATGTGTTTCTTTCTTTTTTTTAAACGATTCTACTTGTTATAAAATAACCAGAAAAAAATGGACACCAAAATATTCTTCAACCATTGAGCTAAAAATAATAAAATAATATTGCGACCATTTTCGAGCGACTAACACGCGACCGGAGTTGTCATTAGACAATTGACGTCAATCGTCTTATTCCATTCATAACATACGCTCAGATGTCCCTATTAATAATTATTTAATCCAAAATGGCGGATGTTATAAACAGTAGTAGAGGTAGTAGAATATTTTGTTAAGAAAAACTTGAAAGTGAATTTATAAAATAAATTTGTTCATCGAAGAAGTAATTCCTTAAAAAAAATTAAAATATATCCCATGAATAATAGTAAAAAATGCCGAGTCTCGCTTCCTTTAAAAAATACTGTTTGGTGTCATATAAAACCTTATAATTTTATTTACTATGTATTATGAAGCCTTGGCAATTGCCATTGTAATTACAAGGCGCCATCTTCAAATTAATAATTAACAACAATACACCCAGATTCTCTTCACTTTTACATATCAAAAATTAAAAATGCATAAAAACCATTCCAGGTGATGTAGATGATGAGATGTCTGAGAGCACAGAAGACCAACTGGTTCCTCTCGGGGGTGGTCTGGTGATGAGCCTGCCTTCCGTCACCCAGCCGCGGGAGGAGCTGACCATCATCAGTCAGCCGGCTGTAGTTACTGAAGGTAAAACTTTGTTTCATTAAGTTTTTTAACCCGGTGGTTAACAAATAAAGGGGGAAAATAAGAATTAAGGGGGAAACAAGAATCAAGGAGGGGAAAACCAGAAATGACAAGAATCAAGAGGGGGAAATTATCACGGGGGGACAAGAAATTACCAGGAGGGGGAAACACAAGTAAAAAGGGAAGAGAATAAGAATCAAGTGGGAAAACAAGAAATAGCATTATTCAGGAGGGGGGGGGGAAACAAGAAACAATTTGTTGTTTAATGAATTTAGGGGGGTCAAGAATTAGTGATGTCACGTTAGACCCCCAGTAACTTTGTCAGATGTCTCTTTCTATGATTTACTCTGCTTTCCCTCATGTTTAATTATTGGTTCATTTGATTCTTCATTAGCAAATATTGTTTCCGTCACACCTAAGATGCAATCACCTGCATTAGTAATATTGAATATTTTATTTTTCAGAAGCAATAATGAAACCTCTGATTGTTAGACCGCAGAGTGTTGTATTGAAATACCACAGGAAGATACCTCCATTTAAGAATACTATTGCAGGTAATGTTTATAATCTATCTATCTATACTGTTATAATAAAGCGTAAACACACACTTCTTTGTTGCCTAAGATGTCAGAAACTACAGCATATTTTTGAATAACTCTTTCTTTAATTAAAAGCCCTACACTTACATCACGCTTTAGGATATATATATTTTCACGCCATTAAACTTAGCAGGTAAATATTTTGGATGAAAACTGGATGAAAACTTTAAAAAATGCCAAACACATTAAATTATTCATAAAAAAAATACAATAAAAACATTCCATAAACACATTAAATACACATAAATAGTTATATTCTAAAATAATTAATAAAGTCTAGAAGGTATCCA